AGCCTGGAAGACAGTGAGGCTCTTTAAAAAAAAAAAAAAAGCTATACTTGCTAACCCCAAGATTCAACCCAAGATACCCACAGACACTGGCTGAAGGAAAATTTGCATTAATTATTTTTATTTACAGAAACAGTTATTTACATTTAACCCAGTTTCGTGGCAAGTTCTTTAGCCTTTGCCTTTTCTAGCTTGGCAATGCGAGCCACAGACTTGGGACCCAGGACATTGCCTCCCCAGTGACGCCGGATCTGAAAAGACAAAAACAGGGAGTCAGCTTAGCCTGTTTTCTGAGATTTTCAAGGTTATTAGTTGCGTTGTTCTGTTTGGCTGTTCCAAGTTGATTGCCAAATACAACTGCTCATGAGTTAAGCCAGCCAGTTGTTTGGGAAAAAGATTAGCACATGACAGTATTTTGTGTAAAGCTGATCTTACCTCATCGTATCTGTCATTGTAGTTGGTGCGAATACCTTCCACCAGCTTAGCCAAAGCACCTTTGTCTTCCCTAATAAGGCAGGAGGGAAAACAAAAGTGGGTTTTTGGCCTGTTTCCCTTTTAGAACATGTGTCTTCATTTTCAGCTCAAGACAATCTTTTGCTGAGATGCAATGTGACCACATGGTTTACTCAGGTGAAGAAATTCTTAATCATCACTGGCAAAAGTTCAGATAAACGTTATTTCTTAAAACTAAGACTTCCTTAAGGAAAACAACTGTGAGGCATGGATTAAATGCACTGGCAAAGTCTGGGGCCAGGCTGTGTACTTACGGATTAACGTGTGTGAAGGCGACAGTGGTGCAGGTCTTCCTATGAACTAGACGTCCCAGTCTTGCCTTACCCTTGATGATGCAGTAAGGGACTCCCATTTTACGACAGAGGGCAGGCAAGAAGACAACCAGCTAAAAGAAAGCATTAGTTGAACAGTGTATTTTGACCAAAAGCAGTACATTTCAAAGCTAGCTTGGTAGCAAGTGCTCAGGGTTAAAAAGCTCATGGATTTGCACTTCAAGGTTAAATTCAGTGAGAGATTCACATCATTGCAAGAGCCACGCATGAGTTGGATCCCTTGTCAGTACTGTCCTCACCCACTTTGGTTTCATCACTGACTCGCCATTAGGCCTACTCTCTTCCTGGTACTGACAGAAGCCCTTGGATTAGCAGTCAACAGGCAAACACACCTCAATGGGATCCACATCGTGTGCAATCACCACCAGCTGAGCTTTCTTGTTCTCCACCAAGGTGGTGACGCTGTTAACTCCTAGAACACACAATCACTGTGAGCATTCATGGGGCCTGGTCACAAGAAGCTGGGGTTTACTCTTCAGTCATTTCAGGTGAAGAAATTCTACATCACTGCAACAGACTGCCCCCAGTGTTCACCCTAAGGTGGGGTCTACTCACCTGCTCGGAGGACAGGTGGTCTCTTACTGGGGACGTCCCCTTTGCCAGCCGCTTTTTTCTCGGCCCGGGCCAACAGCCTCTGCTTCTTTTCTTGCTTCGTCTCTGGTCTGTACTTGTGGGCCAGCTTAAGCAGCTGGGTAGCTGGTAAAACACTCTTCAGTTTAGGCTTATAGTCAAGGTTCTAATCCTTATCACTTAATATAAATGCTAGATCGCTGTGCTGGTATGTAAGAACTATAATGTAATGACAACTGCAGTTCAAGAAACCAAACCATTGACTCTCATGTTCTGGATGAAATAAGCAATCACTGATTTTAACAAACTCATCAACTTCAAAAGCTCCCGTCACCCAAAAGCCTC